GGCACATAACAACAAGTTCAACAAGTAAAATAGCAGAAAGTTTTAGAATACAGGCTCTGGAGTTAAATTGCTTGAATTTCAGTCTCTCCTTGATGCTTAGTAAACTGTAAGATTTTGCCTGAATTACTGAACTCTAAGCCTGAATTTCCTCATTGTTTAACAAGATTAACATAAGGTTGTTAGGAAGATAAAATGGCATAATGAATGTGAAGTGTTGAGCCAAGTGTTAGCTGCTACCATCATCATCATCAATCATCATTATCATTTTTTAGATAAATTAGGGAAATTGTGGAGTATGTAAACTCACTAATTACTTGCTAATAAAATACATAATTAGTTGGCCTGTAGTTAGGGTAATGAAAAATCCATAGCCCAGGCTCTGTGACCTCCAAATCAGCTTCCTATTGGTATCCTTCCCAGACCAGAAACTACCCATTTATGCACTGTTTATATGGAAAGAACCTTTTCTAAAAATGTGTCAGTGTTTGTGTAAAATGTCTTTGTTCTGACAAGCACCTTAAAGCGCTTTTGGTTAACAAAAGTAGAGTTGGGGTCTACACGCTGACATGGGTAGGGGGAGGGATATACAGGAAGGATCTATGACCACCATGATAACATTGGGAAATGGGAGGACACGGGATTGTGCACAAAAGAGATAGACGACAGATGCTAATACCAACCAATGTGTCCACAATACTGCATTGCCATTAGCACCAAACACCAGGCTATAGATAAACACATAAATACCTGAGATGATCAGACAGGGGTCAGTGAACAGAAGTATACTCTAGACCAAGGATAGATTCAGCTGAGGGTAATCTTGCACAGACACCAGTGATAAAGCCTTGCTCCACATCCTACTTTGGTGAGTAGTGACTGGGGTCTTAAAAGCTTTCAAGCAGCCATCAAAGATGCAGCTAACATTCTCCTAGCATCGGAAGCAAAGAAGGCAACAACAAAAAAAAAGGCATTTGGAAGCAATCAGCCCTAGGACACAATGTCACTCAAGACCACAAGAACTAGATGGGGCCTGGCTACCAATGCCAGCCACTCAGGAAAAGATCAAATCTGGAGATCCTGGGTAGAGTGGGAGGGAAACTGTGGAACAAAATCCAAAAACTCAATAAGAACCAGAATTACTGGTCAGATGAAATCTGGTGAGACCTCCAATACTATGGCGCTGGAATACATTCTGCACCTGGAATAAAACACATCCCCAGGGGTGGGCTCTCAGCCCAATAGTTAACAAGATGTACACGCTGATCACTCAACCCACGCTGACACACCCACATACTCTATGGTGATATATCCCATAGAGCAATACACCACGGGGCACCAGAGGACCAACATTCAAGTTGAGGAAATGAAGGACAAACAGGAGTGCATAAATATAAGGAGCACAGGGGAGGGTTACAGTGTAGGGAGGGGAGGAGACTGGGTTAGTGTTGGACATGGTAAATGCAGAACAAAACTAAATGTACGTGTAACATTGAATGTAAAACATGCTCTTAAAAGAAAAAAGATCTCAGGAAACAAAAACATATACACATATATATTTAATTTGGTACCAAAAGTCCTTTGGCACATCTGCCTGATGCAGTAAGGGGTCTGATGTGTCTCAGAGCTCTGGTCTATCCCATATGCTTCTGTGTATTCTTGTGGTTTCTGCTTTTAAGTTTAATTGAACAGTGAATTGTGAAAATGTCAAAAAAGTTAAAGAATAACCTCGCTATTTTAAATGATAAAAGTAGAGACGTCAGGTGTTTTTAAAGCATAGGATGTACAATTTCTGCAGGCATTTGGGGCATTATACTGACATATTCTTGTGTCAGTCACCACCATGTATGACTTCATATGAAGGCAAGTTGACAAAACTGAGTAGAGATGGCGAGGACCAAGAACTTAGGAAATACTGAAAACATTGCCCGAGGCAGAAAACACAACTTAAGATCTCGAACTTGCATTGATTGAATAAATGCAACGACAAAGTGGTAAAAAAGAAAAGAAAAGAGAGAGAGAGAGAGAGACAGAAAAGTTTGCAGTAAGAAGTAAGAAGCTAAATTGGCCGGTATTAAAACGGTATAGTACTTTTAGGGAGATGTTCTAACAAAAAGTAATAGGCACACGATAAGTAAATGTTGCTGGTTTTTTTTTTTTTTTTTTTTTTTTTTTTTTTTAGCCTGGTGGTGTAGTGGATAAGGCATTTACTGCTAACCAGAAGGTCAGTGGTTCAAACCCACCAGCCACTCCACAGAAGAAAGATGAAGCAGTCTGCTTCTGTACAGATTTACAGCCTTGAAAACCCAATGGGGTCACTATGAGTCAGAATTGAATCGATGGCAGTGAGTTTGTTTTTTGTTTATATTATGACTACTCTTTGCAACCCTCAGAACATTAATGAAAACAGGCTACACCTAATGACCTTGTGCTGATGCTGGTTTAGGGAAAATAAGGAGTGTTAGTTGAAGGAGATGAAAGAGAACACTTGCCAAAGGAGCAAATAACAATGGAAAATAGTAGGTGGCAGCAGCAGTAGAAGCAGAGTCCACCATGATTAACCAGTGATGTGGCAGGAAATACTTAACAAAAGGCTCTGCAAGGAAAAACCAACCAACCCTGATTTGTAGCATTTGTAGCATTGTTCCTATGGTATAAACACTCCCAATAATGGCAGATTTCAAACTCCCAACATAATGCCATTGAGTGAGGCAGAACACACAGAACTGTCTATGCTGAGTCTCCCTAACAGCTCCAGCACATCCCACCTCCCTCCACCTTTCCCAGACATAATTAAGCAATGGAACTCATGATAGGATGGCTGAAGCAGACACTTGCGTTACATCAACAATGGGCAAACAGTAAGGGTAAGTCCATTTTGAGATTTAAATGTGGTTGTATCTTTGGCAATCCTTTGTAAACTCCAATGTGCCATTCAACTATAAATGCTATGGATGCCAATGTAAAGGATGAAGACAATGGTGATGATCCCTTTGTCCAAGACATGTTTGAGTTTAACCTTTGCTTCATAGGTTTCAAAAAAGATATATCAACAGTTGTCCTAATTTTCAAATTAGTTTTTAATTTCATCATCATGAGAAATCAGGTCTAACTTTGAAATGTGTGATGATTTATGTATTACTTAACATGATCAAACATTTTAGATGTTCTGAAGGAAGATTGGGAGATTACTTCCATAGTGATACTACCTCGGAGGGGTCATTATTTGTCGGAAACAACTTGATGGCAGTGAGTTTTTTTTTTTGTTTATGAACCTTCAGGAAAATACATATTCTATAATTGTGTGATGCAGATATTTTTATATGGATAAATGGTCAAGCTTAGTAATTGTGTTATTTAGCTCTTTCATATACTTTTTAATTATTTTTATTATTATTTTGGTTTGTTTTGATGTATATTTTGAGAGGCTATTGTTCATATTTTGCCCAGGAGAGTCTAGGTACATATTTGATGTGTTGGAGCTATTAAGAACACCATCTACTTCCCTATAGATCATCCACCTTGGAAAATGTTAAACACTTATTGCCATTATAATTTTCATTGCTCAGCCTTCCTTCTTATGTTTACATACTCATTGAATGCCTTTAAGGCATTCAGTCTGTAATCATTGAGTGTTGAATAGATCCATGTAAGTCTCAGAGTTTTTTGGTCATTTCAGTTTTATACCCTGAGCACTAAAAATGCATAAGGCCAACAAGAATTAGATTGCTGACACTATTTTTGGCCCAACATAGCTGGCTAAATATTATTTCCAAGGTAAAGGTTAGATGCTAAGCATTTAATTTTTTTTGTAGCTTTTCATTTTTGTTATATAAATAATATGCTAAGTGGTGCTAAAAAAAAAAAAAAAGGAAAATAAAAGTGGCTCTCAGGTATGGAACACTTTCTATAGGTCAAGCTCTATTCTGTTGTTGTTAGGTGACATTAAGTTGGTTTCAACTCATAGTGAACGACCCTGTGTACAACAGAACATAACACTGCCCAGTCCTGAGCCATCTTCATAATTTTTACTACATTTGAGCCTATTCATCAAGCCCAGTGTAGGACATTTCACTAAATGATTTATATTCACCACACAATAGTTTACTGAAGCTGATGATATAATTATCTAATCATTAACCTGGTTGTGTAAGTAAATAAATAGAGGCTCAACTCACTGCCATCAAATCGGATCCAACTCATAGTGACCCCTACTTGGGTTTCCGAGGTGGTATCACTAAGGAAGTAGATTGCCCAATCTTCCATCTGAGGAGTGCCTTGTGGGTTTGAACAACCAGCCTTCTGGTTAAGAGTCAAAAGCCTTAGGCACTATGCTACCAGAGCTCCTAAAATAGAGGCTAAGATATCTAGATATATAAAATAATTTGTTCAAAGTCACTACAAGGGAGCTTATGAGAATTACAAGTTTATAGGACTTTAAAGCCCATGTTTTTATTCACTATGCTAGGTCATTAAATTTGCTTTTATCACAGATAATCAATTAAAAATACACTGGACACTTCTTACTGCCAAAGTCTGCCATTGAATTGATTCCAAATCATAGCAACTCCCTTTGGCTTTCCAAGGGTGTACATCTTTACTGAAGCAGACTGCCACATCTTTCTATGATAGAGTGGCTGTTGGGTTTGAACCACTGACCTTTGGGTTAGCAGCCAAATGCCTTAACCACTGCACCACCAGACAAGTGCTAGAAGTTGCTAACCTTTTCTCTCATTTTCATATAAATATACGGTTGACTCAGTTTAAAAAACTTTATAATGAAAAATTTTAGATAACATCTCATTTCTTATTTTAACTTCATATTTTAAATAACATTACTGTCATTATTTGTATTTACAAACACAAAGCTTTATGAATACAAATATTTATCTTATTATTTACATATACACTCAAAGAACAATTTAATAGAGAAAACTATAAAAATATTTTTGGAATATTAACATATCACAGTACAGCATTGCATTAAATTCAGTATCTTATCATGCAAATTATCAAATCCCAATGTCAAGACAGTCAGACTCATAATTTTCCCAGACTCAAATATCTTTTATTATAAAAGTCACTTTGTTTAGGAAAAAGTAGATCAGTTTTAGAAGTCCTAGAAAAACAGATTAAATTACTGACCACTTAGCTTTGGGCTGGGTGTTCCTAATGCAGGTCTGGGATCTTTCACCAATATTTTAGAACCAGCTAGGAAAAGAAATGAAAATATTTACAAAAATTAATATAATTAATAATACACACTCACACACACCCATATATACATGAACAAATTAGGATGATTGATCAGTTTTATTGTGATATGCAGTTCTCTCAAGAACATTCTAATCATCACAGCATCTTATCCCAACTCAGCACTCCTCCTTCATAATTATGCTCATTGTAACCCAGTGTGATAAGAGGGTGGATTCTGCCTTATCCCCTTGAGTTCCTGTTTCTTGTTCTATATGCATAAACCTACATCAAAGCAGTCAAGCCAAGAGCTGAGGGGATACTTCTGTTGCAATCTTTTTCCTTTTGATAAGCCCATTACAGAAGCTCTGGTGGTGTAGTGCCTAAGGCCTTTGACTGCTAACCAGAAGGCTGGAGGTTCAAACCCACCATCCACTCCTCAGAAGAAAAAGTGGGCAATCTACTTCCATAGTGATTCCACCTCAGAAACACTAGGAGGGGTCCCTATGATTCAGATCCAACTCGAAGGCTGTGAGTTGGTTTTTTTTTTTTTTTTTTTTCAGTTTAAGCCCATTACACCTGCTCCAGATGGGGATTATCTTGTCCCAGTGGTAACAAGAATGAACGTTTCACCTAGATTTTGTCAAAATATCTTATCATCCTGGCTCAGAGGAAGATGGGCTTAGTTCAAAGCTGTGACAATCAGAGTCCTGAAAAATGCTGACTGATTGAGTTTTGGAAAATAATCATTCTACTAGCATTGTGATGCTAGAAAAGTATAAAGCAAGGGATGAGGACAGCAATGTTCCCTGCCTTAAGGAGAGGACCAGAATAAGGAATAAAGGCAAGAGGAAGAAGTATAGCATGAGAAAAAAAGGTATAAAAGACACAAATAACATTTCTGTAACTCTGAATCTAGAAGTATCTACATTACTCTGACTCTTGGTGTGGTCAACAACATTCCTTTGCTCTTAAACTAATCTGTATTGAGATATACTCTCTTGCATCAGAGGGAGGCTTGCATAGCACAATCTCTTCTGCTAAAAGCTACTATAGAGAAAACTTACCTTCACAAATGGGAACTTTTCCAGACCAAGTATTATCAGATCTACACACTCTATGTTCTGTTCCACCTGCTAAGAAGAAGCCATGCTGGCAGGTGTAAATTAGTGTATACCCATGAGATGGAAGGTCCATTCCTACTACATTTGCATGAGAAGGTGTTTCTGGCTGTTTACAGCTATGGGCTGTGTTCAGAAAAGAGAACAGAGTTAATTGTTTTATAGAGATTTGAAGAAAAAATGAGATAGGATTTATAATATATTTTCAGAAGTGTTTTAATTCCTTTATATAAATACACCTTGTAACAAGTATTCTAATGAACCAGGGAAAATATATCAATTTAAATGTATATATTAATTTCCATGCTTTATCATGTCTTAAGCTATCATTTATGAAACAGTAGTAGATATCAATAGGAGGGCTGAGACAAAAAGACTTAATTATTGTGGATAGTTAATCTCAGAAACGTGTACTATATCATTATTTTAGATAATCACAATGAACAGTCTGCAATCCCTAAAGAGTGAATAAATCAGTATAAAGCTCAGAGTTTTTTGGTCATTGAAGTTTTATAACATGGACATTTTAAAGGCTCTAAAAAATTCTGCAAAAAAGAAACATTTCAATGTTTGCCAAGTTCGGGTCTCCTATACCAGCTGAACCCCCTGTCATCAAGTTGATTCTGACACACTGACACCCCCATTGGGTTTCCAAGGTGGTATAGCTTTATGGAAATAGATTGCTCCATCTTCCTTCCCTGGAGTGGCTGGGGGTTTGAACCACCAACCTTCTGGTTAGCAGTCACATGCCTTAGGCACTGCACCACCAGAGTTCCTTTATACTAGCTGAGGAAACATTAGTATATGATTTGTTATTTTATTATATTCATTTTAAATTAAAAAATGTTTTCTAAGATTAAATAAAACCACAGTTAATTATATTGTTTTTATACTAATATTTCATAAGGTAGTTTATACAATTTAATAATTTGTTTTCACATATTGAATTTTTGGGGAATATTTTGGGTCTATCTATAAGCCAGAGGTACCATTTCATTTATCCAATTTTGAGTCTTCTTTTTCCGTAATTCCTTCTCCTCCTTATTCTTTCCTTTAATTCCACCATACTACTACTATTGTGCTTCCTGGTCCTGCCCCTCAGTTCACTGGTTTTGTACCTCATAAAGATCTTTTTTTTTTTTTTTTTTTTCTCATTCAAAAGACCTTTCTTTCAAAGAAAATAATATTTCTGATCATTTATTCCAGGAATATAGATCCTTATAGAAGGTCTCTGAAGACAAAGTATTCTGTACACAAATGTGCTTGCAGGAAAAAAAAAAAAAAGTTATATCTATCTACTTATCTATCTATCTATTCTTAATGGAGAGTCACAAAACTAAATAATGGCTATTATTTTGAATATTGTTTGCTAAACACAGTGTAACATGGTTTCTATTTAGTATAATTTAGTCAATTAATGTAACTTTCATTGAATAATACTTATAAGGATAAACTCAGATAGTCTGACTAACCTGCTTTCATAATTCCCACATAAGGCACATATTAGAAATTCCAAGATGCTTCACAGTAACAGAAGCTGTTTGACTTTATTTAAATCATCTCTTCCTAAATGTAGGTCATCAAATAACTTTGGTTTACTATGAAATACCTAGTTGCATCCCACACAGCTGTTCTAAATTATACACTCTAAGGAATTATGTCTTAAAGATTTATGCCTTGTTTACATAAAAGTCAATCAGACATGTAGCATGACTTCTCAGGGGAATATCCTTCTGCTTTTAGGGGCTTGTCCATAGGGGTCTGGTTCTGAAAAGGGCTAGAGTAAGATTACAGGACCAGGTTAGGCTCTAGCAAATCCTAAAAGTTAGATGCTTTCCTGACTTATGTTTCTTCTTTTGGTTTATTCCTTTTTTTATTATTATTTTCTCCTATGAGACTCAAAATTCAAAAGCTAAGGAGGAGATATAAAGAGAGAAGAAAAGGGAGAGAAGATATTAGTAACTCATCAGCCAAATGTATTTCTAATTAGGAGTCAGAGCAAACTATTTTGTGACCTTGGTCTTTGTTTTGATGTAATCTGTATAGCAAGCATTTTCAAGCTGGGGTTAGTACATACTTAAAGGCTCCAGAAAATCCTGAAAAACAGTATTCATAGTTTGAGTCAAGGTATCCATTCATAGTTCCTTTCACCATTTCTGGATTTCCTCAGATTCTCTAAGGGTTTCCCATGTGATAAAAGATTCCTAACATTCCCTGCCTGCATTCCAGAGTACTTCATCTAAATAGATGCAAATTTAAACATGGATCATCAGGTAAAGTTACCAGATGACCAAATAAAACACAACATAATCACACACAATCATAGGAGCTTCACGAAAGTAAAAAGTTTAAAAAAAAAAAAAAAACTGTCTCATGCATTCTGACTCTCCATGGGCTTGTGATAAAGTACTAAAATAGCAAACATGAAATATGGTCTATTATAATCTAAGGAGAAATCAAGGCTCATGGGTAGCACAGTGGTTAAAACATTTAGCTGCTAACCAAAAGGTTGGTGGTTGGAACCCACCAGCCACCCCTAGGGAGAAAGATGAATCAATATGCTATCATAAAGACTGAACAGATTTTGGAAACTCTATGGAGCAGTTCTGCTCTGTTCTATAGCGTCTGTATGAGTTAAATTGACTTGATATTAGTGAGTTTGAGTTTAGGTTTTTGTTTTCTTTTTTTAAGTAAAAAGAAATCAACTAGACACATCCATTATATAAATATAATTTTGTTTCCACACTTGGTGGGGAAATATTTCATATAAATTCTGACTCATAATAAGTAGAATTTGTTACCCAGAGTACTTACGTATGCATTCAGGCTGAATTCCACTCCATGAGAGGTCAGGAAGACAAGTGCGTGTTGTAGAGCCTTGGAGAAGATGTCCTTTTTTACAATGAAACTGTACAACACTTCCGACCTATAAAGACAGATATGAAAAATAAAATAATTTTGAAGATGGTAAATGCAATATAATATTAGAGGGAAAGATGTTTACTTACGGTTGTGGTGGTAACAGAAACATACAGTGGAAGGCACGGGGTTTGTACTAAACTTTCAAGGACGCAAAATTTGGATAAATATACAAAATATGATTCTCAGAGTGTGTTCCCAAACACATAGATCAAAGGTGTTGTTGATGTTAGGTGCTGTTGAGTCGTCTCTGACTCATAGCGACCCCATGTCCAGCAGAACGAAACACTGCTGAGTTCTGTGCCAGCTCGATCCTGGCTATACCTGAGCCATCATTGTAGCCACTGTGTCACTCCATCTTGTTGAAGGACTTTCCCTCTTTTGTTGACCTTCCACTTTACCAAACATGACATCCTTCTCCAGGAAATGGTTCTTCCTTACAACATGACCAAAGTAGGTGAGACAAAGTAGAGCCATTCTCACTTCCAAGGAGCATTCCGGCTGCACTTCTTCCAGGACTGATTTGTTAGTTCTTTTAGCAATCTATGGTACTTTCAGCATTCTTCACTAGCACCACAATTCAAAAGCATCTACTCTTCTTCGGTCTTCCTTATTCATTATCCAGCTCTCACACACATATGAGGCAATTGAAAATACCACATAGATCAACATCACCCAGAAATTTGCTAAAAATGCAAATTCTGTGGCCTTACTCTGATCTAGTAAATCAGAAATGCTAGTAGTAGGACTCAGAAAGCTATATTTTATGTCCCCAGGTGATTCTAGAAATTGAAATGAAAAGATACACAAGCTAGAAAATACAAGAATAAGATGAGAAAATCTATGGAGGTTTTGAACACACATCATGCTTTAGGGGGGAAAAAAAGAAAGTATATTTTATATTAATTGGCATGGATAATTCATAAAATAAACTGGGGAAGATGGGGGTGGCAAAGTTGAAACAGTGAGATGCATAAATAAGAACATCATTTCCTCTTCAATAAATAAAGATGATAATATTTGTACTGGGATTTGTTTCAAGTATTAAATAAGATAGACTATATAATGTACTCCATATAGCATTTGATAAATAAGTGTAAAATTATAGCTATACTTATTAAATTCAGACATAAGTAAAATTCAGTCTTTTGAAAGTTTCAAATGACAGGCTAAGGAACCTGGAATCTTTAACAGAAAATATAAAGTTACTAAAGCTAGCATTGGGAAAGTAAACTGCGAAGGAACTGTTTCAAGTGCTGAGGAGCAAGGATATCTCCTTGAGGACTAAGGTGCGCCTGACACAAGCCATGATATTTCCAATTGCCTGGTATGCATGTGAGAGCTGGACAATGAATAAGGAAGACCGAAGAAGAGTTGATGCTTTTGAGTTGTGGTGCTGGCGGAGAATGCTGAAA